GAGGAGAGAGAAAGAATAAGAGGCAATGAGAGAGAGAAAGGAGTAAAAGAGTTTATTTTATATAGTAAATATCCACCATTGGATTAAATTGTAATCTAACGGTATTGAAAGAGGTAGACAAAGTTAGGCAAAATAAGAGTAGCAAAATAACCTATCCCCATTTAAATAAAGGGAAAAAACTAAATATGATGGCTAATCAACCACTTAATTAACAACCCATCACTTCCCAATCATATTGGGTAATTTCTTTCTTTCTTTTTTATTCAATTAATCCAATTGATTGGTTTCCCTAATTTTAGCCAATCTATCTAATTAATCGGTTTCCTTAATTTGAGCCAATCAATCTAATTAATTCAATTTTCTCCATTGTCATCAAATATAATTTCATGACTATATTTAAATTCAAAATTTGAATTCCAATTAATTTTATTAATTTAACATTTAAATTAATCAGGTTGCACCATAGATCAGGTCTCACTTGGCCCATGACGCATATAATTTAATTTTTATAAAAAAACTTGTGTAAGATGGAAAGTTTACAGTTTTCAAAAGAATCAAAATCAGAATTACACGTGGCAAAACTTTTCATAGAACGGCTATGATTTAAATATAATATAGATTACAAGGAATGTAGGTGATTTAAAAAACTGCACTGTTGGTGCTAGCGCGAAGAAAATATTATTTGGCGCTAGTAGCACCATTACCGCACTAGTGGTTCAAAAGTCAAAATAATTTCCCACCTCTTGGAAATCCAAGAATACCATCCCCATGTGGTATTCTTGGATGACATTTTGCCTTAAAAAGTGTTTACAAATCAGAATTTTGGAAAAATCAGATTCCCGGGAAAAATTTCACAATCATTGTACCAAACATGGGTATATAGGATTCTCAATGTCACTATCTCGAGAATCTAAAAAAAACATCTTGTACCAAATGTCCCCTTAATTTCCTCGATGATCCAATATGATGTATCAAGGGGTTTGCAGTAGTTATGGTTTTCCCGACACTTAGAACTAACTTGTGAATCATGCTTAGTACGCCATAATTCTTTTGACTTCAAACTTCTTCAATCAATAGTTAGACTATGTGTAATGGGTCAAGCCAAGTTACACGTAAGCCAAGTTATGACTTTTGACCATTGGTTGGGTCGATCCAGGTTTCGGTAATTCGGTGCCTTCTGGTTGATCCGGTTTGAATCGCATCAAAAATCGGGTTCAACCAATTTTAAGTTAAATTGTGTAAAAAAATATATATTTTGCAAGTAACGAAATTCGAACTTGAATCTCTTTGTTTGAGGATCAGAAGGTTTACCATTAGACCACTTTTATTTATTGGACATAAGTTCATAATTTAATATTTATTATATATTTTTCAAAAAAAAATATTTAGTATATATTATTTTTAATCCGGTTGAACCACTGACCACACACTACTTCAACCGTTCGATAACCGAATTGAGTTTTGAAACACTGGTTTCAACTCTATAGAATCAATGACTAATTTGTTTAGGAGCTAAAAATTTACTTTTTAGCTATATTAAAAAAAATTTAAACAATATTTTTTAAGGTGGAGCCCTGTCAATAGCTCTTATCCGTTCTTAAGGGGGGTGTATTGGATTAGAATTTTAAAAGACTTTTTTGAGAAAAAAAATCTTATGCATTTTAAAAGATTATTTAGAATTGTATAGTATTTAAAGACATTTTTAAAAGACTTATTTTACAATCAAGATTTTATAAGATTAAATTTTAAAGGATTTTAATAGAATTTATAAGATTTGAAAGGACAATACGAATTTATAAGATTTTAAAAAACCATATAATTTTTAACAAATATTCAAAATTACAAGAGTCAATAAAAGAAGTTAACAAAGAAATGCAAAGATATTAATAAAAAAAAAGTAAAATGTAATATAATTTTCTCAATTAGTAATATTTAATGATAACTTTTCATTTGAAACTTTTTGCAATTGATCTTGTAAACCTTGAGATTTTTGTTCTACATGATGAGAGTTTTCTAACCATATATCATATGCATGTTTTTATTGAGTATTCTAAGAAAATTTCGAATCTGAATTTCTGAGTTTTATTACATGAAAATTTAGAAAATTTCTCAAATTATTTTCAATCGATACATTAAAATCTTAAATTTCTTTGGAGGTTTTGAAAAATAAGTTTTTAGTGATTTGTTGACACAAAAATTGTTTGAAATCATTTCCTGTAGCGAAGGAATTTCATTCGTGAATGTATTATTATGAAACATAGAGTTCACATTATGAAAGTTTCAATCTTTCTTTAAATCAATCTTATTTCATTGATGTAAAATGAAAATTGGTTTGGAGTTTTTGTTTCCTTATTATTTTTTCACTGTTTTATGTTATTTTTAATACAAAAATCGTACATTTTAGTACTAAGAAAAATGATGACCAATGGCTTAAAAAATCATTTTTAAAATTTCAAAAATTCTAAAAATTGCTCCAAAATTTGCTGTTTTTGAGATGATTTTAAAATCTTGTTGGGTTGTTATTTCTGATTGTTTTATGATGAAAATCGCTCAAAAATCTGTTATTTTTTAGCTTTGACGAAGCTCCCATGGCCGAACTCGGTTTCAAGTGGGTCGACCCACCAAAGGAAGAAGAAGACGAAATCTCAAGAAATCCTAGGGGTTAGAGTGAGATTGTGAGAGAGACATTCTATTTATATTTTTCACTAATAAGTCTCACGAAATCCACACAATAGAAAATCCATTAAAATCGTAAGATTTTTGAATAACACAAGATTATTTTTCTTTTTCTTAAAATCCTGATTGAATACTATCAAATTTGGATGAACTCTAAAATAATATTTTAAAATCCTAATCGAATACCACATGACTTTTTTTCAATCCTTTAAAATCCTAATTGAATACCAACGGATTTTTTTGTCAAAAAATAATCCTTTAAAATCCTTTGAAATCTCAATCCAATACACTCCCTAAATAAACTTAAACATATAATTATTTAATTTTAGTAAATAAACTATTAAAAAATATTTACTCCACATGTGATATATATATATATATATTTATATTTTATATAAACAAAACAACATTCCATGTTATTACTATCCATCAGTAAAAACTCGTGTAAATACTAAATAGCTTTACAATAAAGGGAACGGGTGGGTCTTCAGTATCTTTCAAGGGTATCTTAACTCATAAAACAAATTTCTATAGCTTGTGAACAGTTTTATCAAAGGATTGAGAACAGATACAACAATTTTTAGCATTCTTTACACTTCATTATTAATTCTCCTCCATTTAACCTTAGTTGGCATGACATGCGAAAAAAAATTAAAATATTATTTTAATAAATAATTATAAATACATAGATGTTTTGAAATTATCTACGGATCTATTGCATTCATTCACGTCCAAATTAGGCGTGACTATTCATGCCCAAATTAGGCGTGACTCGCAAGGCATTCACGCCTAATTTAGGCGTGAATCATCTGGTGTTGACAAGTGGAAAAAAAAAAGTCAACTTACGAACCGTAAAACTTTGGAAAACCATAACTTTTGACTCGGGTATCCGAATGAGGTAATTCTTTTTTTGATTCCACATAACTTTTCGATATCTACGCAATGACTTCTCGTTTGATATATTTTATCTCTCACAAACACAATTCAAATTTGCAATAATTGTATTATATAGTGTATTACCCAAAAAAAATTTAAAAATTATTATTAATAAGAAAAACGAATAAGTTGCCGTTTTGAACCTAATTACGAATATATTGCACTCATTTAAGCCCAATAATGGTACTATAACATTAAATTCAAAATTCAAAATTCAAATAACCTTTAATAAGTTGATTGCATTTTGTATTTAATAGGAGTTGATTGTGTTTTGTATTTAATAAGAGCTGATTGCGTTATAATTTTATGAGTTGGTTACAGATTGTCGCCAATTCAAATAAATTTTCTGGAGGTTATTTGAATTTTAAATTTAATGTTATAGGAGTTGATTGCGTTTTGTATTTAATAGGAACTGATTGCGTTTTGTATTTAATAGGAAATTTGGTGCCATCTTATTTATAGATGAGTTAATCCACTGTGGTGCCATTTTTATAGTATCATTGTTGTAAATTTGAATTGTGTTTGTGAGAGATAAAATATATCAAATGAGATATCATTGCGTAGATCTCGAAAAGTTATGCGGAATCAAAAAAAGAATTACCTCATTCGGATACCCGAGTCAAAAGTTATAACCTTATAAAGTTTTACGGTTAAACTATTAATTTACGAGTCAAGCCTAATTTAAACGTGAATGACCACAATAAATTTAAAAATAATATCCAAAATGTAACCTATTCGTAATTATTTATTAAAATAGTCATATTTTAATTTTTTTTTCCCACATGACATGTTTTTATCCTTTTTTTTTTTTTTTCCTTGTTAGCCTTATTTATTGTTATTCTCAAACTTTATTCCATCATTGCACGCCATAGTTCACTTCACAAAACTAACGAACCGTAACCGACGAAAGCATGACTAGATATATACTTTGGTATGTTCACCATTTAAAAGTGAATGCAATGGATTTAATTGTATAAGAACACGAATGAATTTATTAATTAATAGTGTGCTTGAACATTTATACAAAAGAATTTAACGACCTGTAAATATAAGAATGTTGACTCATGAAGAAATACATTATTATTTGAGTAAAACAAAAAAAATAAACGAATTATAAGGGTAAAAACGGGCATGCAAGTATAATCACGCGCCACGCTTAAGCGTCTGGATTTGTCAATTGCGAAACTTTTAGGACAAGGGAAGGAGGGTTGGAAGTGGGAATATAAAAAGGAGGAAACAAAACATAAGATGTTTTATTTCACACTTTTTTTCTTATCAACTAGTCTTCAAATCCCTCTCTTACCGCGGTATTAAAATATTGTTTTTAACGAAAATAAAAATAAAAATAAAAAAACAAAAAAAAAACGCGGCTGCTGAATTCACCAAAAACAGAGACACGGTGAGAGAGAGAGAGAGAGAGAGACAACCTGTGTGTTGATCGATCCTAGCTGCAGAATAACATTCAGAGTTTCCGAAAATCAAACACGAGTTCTTTTTTCTTTCTTGAATTTGTTTTTCGATTATCTAAGGTTGTGGTTTTAATTTTATTCTAATTGTTGGGAAATTGGAGCTTGTGATTTCTACGCGAGCCTGAGATCGTGTTGAAATTTACAATTATTCGCGGGGGTGAATACTTATGATAGGTATTTGATTCTGAAGAATGGATCGAAGAGGAACTGGGATTTGGATTTGGATGAAGGGTTCTCAATGTGGAGGTTTAAGTTAGAGGGTTTGATTTTTATATTTTTTGGTATTTACTTGGATGATTTCTGCAGGAGGTAGGGATGCAATAAAGGGGTTAGGGTTAGGGTTAGGGTTAGGGTTAGGCTTGGGTGCTGGGAGGAGAGAGATGGTGGAGTCTGAGCTTGAAGAAGGTGAAGCGTGCTCATACCAGAACCACGAAGATTACGACGCCGCCGTTGATCCCGATGTTGCCCTTTCTTACATTGTAAGGGCCTTTACCTTGATTTTGCCTGCTCTGCTATTCAAAGTTTAGTTTTTTCGTTTTAAAAGTTTTGAATTATTGGTGTTAACTTGTTTTACTTTGTTAGATCCAAGGCCTGAATTCTTTTCCGTGGTTGGTATGGTATAATTTATATAAATATGTAAATTATATTTTTTTGCGAGTTGAATGGATTTGGTATGTGTTTTACATAGAGGATGTTCTAAATGATTTCAAATTTTTGTGGTCTTTGGGATGTCAGCTTGATGCATTGGGTTATTGAGGAAATTTCTGATCAACCTGCTTGATCTGCTGATAGAAATTCTGTTTGAATCATCCTGGTGGCGTAAAGCATTTTTTTCCTTGTTTGATTTTTCTCCTTTTTCCTTTCACGAAGAAGTAAATGTTCCATTTGTTGATGTGATTTTGCTTGTGAATTCCTGTTTTCAGTTTTGGAATGATATTTTCCCTGAGATAGACTTTTATTAATGCCTCTATGCACCAAAATATAGTGGAGTTATTCTGTCTGATTCTCCTTTATAACTATGAGAAAGCATGAAATACATTTGTTACTCTCTCTGGTTCGTAAAACTTGTATTCTGGAAGTTGTGTGTATTGAAGAAACTTCCTTAATTTGAAAGGTGTCTCAACTGTGAGATGGCTAATTGACACATCTGGAGTTGTAGATGCTTTTCATTTCCTTGTCATAAACATGTCTACATCTCTTCAGATTTGAGCCTTTTCCGTTTTTTGATCACTTGTTCTTCTTTCTTTTCTCTCAATGATATACCTTTGGAATTTTTTTTCTAAGGATGAAAAAATTCAAGATGTTCTGGGACACTTTCAGAAAGATTTTGAAGGCGGAGTGTCTGCAGAGAATCTGGGTAACTTTTAAATTGTCAGAACCATGATTCATCTAGTGTAGGCCTATATAATAAATAGTGTTTTGTTCTAATGATATTGTGAAACAATTGATGATTACAGGGGCAAAATTTGGTGGTTATGGATCATTTTTGCCCACCTATCAGCGCTCTCCTGTTTGGTCTCATCCACGAACTCCACAAAAAATTCATAGTCAAAATACATCCAGATCTCCTAATAATTTGCAACTGGAGGTACATTAGTTACACTAACATGGGGCATGTCTGTCTGTGATACATTTTTTTAATTAAATTGGATGGTTGGATATGAGGTTTTATGATTTGGCCTTGTGTTATTTTTCATTTTTGATTTACTTCAAATCAATTTGTACTTTACAGAGTGGGCAAGGGGATGCTGTACAATGTTCAGCTGGGACTCAGTCATTGAGACTTGGCCCAGGTTCTGCTAGCACTTCAAGGCTGGCTACAGTTAAGGCATCCTCTTTTGATGATGGAACCAATCAAGAAAAATGCATGACGATCACTGGTGCTGAGGCATTGACTTCTAAGAATGAGTCTCTAAACATGAAAGCTACAAGTATATCAGACCAGAAGACACTGAAGGTTCGAATCAAAATGGGCCCTGACAATTTGTCAACTCGAAAAAATGCTGCAATATACAGTGGACTTGGTCTTGATGTGTCGCCATCATCACCGGATGACAGCCCGTCAGAAAGTGAAGGAATTTCTCGTGGTCCTCAAGATGCTCCCATTGAATCTCCAACCAGTATCCTTCAGGTGAATTATCTTCCTGCAATTTGATTCTCCTTTATTTCCTTATACTGTGCTTGATGAGATTATAAGGTTTTATTTATTTTCCCTAATGGTGTCTTGGAACAGATCATGACAACCCTCCCTATGCTGTTGTCGCCTCTTCCCAATGATCTCATTGAATTAACTGAAAGGGAAATGAATGCCAGAGATAGCATCTCTGGTCCTGTTCATATGAATGAGCCAGAAAGTTCTGGCATATTACTGCATGAATCGAATATTGTAAAAGGTGACAGAAAATTGTCAGGAGGGAAGAAAGCGAAGTCTCGGGAGGGTTATGAGTCCTCATTGGAAATCAATGGTTGCGCTAAGAAGAATACTCGTAATGATGTTGGAGTGCTGTTAAGGAAGGAACAAGGTACAGATGCATTGGATGAGCTAGTGTCAAAAACCATGAAGCTTCCACTTTTATCCAGTTCATGTTCTTTCATTGATGATTCAGTAAAGGCTGTGGATGGGCCATGTGATTCATTGAAGGAAGCCAACAAGAGTATGCTGAGGGAGAAAACCTTCTCTGATCAGGCACAAAAGGAACAGGTGGAGCCAACATCTACTGAAGTGAATGGTTTTGCTGAGAGGGCAAAGGGAAGTTCAGGAAGAAAAGTTGTGGGAGATAAGGCTTCTCTGGATGATTTATCATGTCATACAGCGAAAGACAATCCTCATGGAGATAAAATATGTGATTCAATAATATCTGAATCTAATGTTTCCAAAGTTAGGACAGCATCAAACACTGAATGCATAGAACCTCCTGGGAAGGCTAATCAGAGAGGTAGCATGTGTGAACAAGACAGTACAGCATTACCAGTTGTGACAGAACATCCATTTCCTGGGGGAAAGAAGTCAAAAGGAATTCATGGCACCATGGTTATAGAGAGGGAAAAAGAAAACTTGAAGGTTGGTGCCTCTTTGGTTCCTAAAACAAAAAAGAGTTCTGATGATAGTTCTACATCAAAAACTGAAACTGAAGATGTCAGAGTTCAAAAAGGTCTTGGAAAGGCTAGAGATGCATATAGAGATTTCTTTGGGGAATTGGGAGAAGAGGAGGACAGAATGGATTCACTGGAAACCCCTTATGAGGATAAACCGAAGGAATCTGAGGTGGCTGAGAGGAGCACTCCTACAATTAATTGTGGAGCAAAGGAGAGATCAGGTGGTAAGAAAGTTGATAAGCCATTAACAGCTGAAGTATACCCTAAAACTGCCACAAATGTCTGGTGCACCGGAAACGCACATGGTATTGATGCAGAGAATGGAAAAGGGGATGCTGTAATGATGCCTCCTGTTGAGATGGACGATAATTGGGTACAGTGTGATAGGTGTCATAATTGGCGTCTTCTTCCTGTTGGCACAAATCCTGATAACCTACCCGAAAAATGGCTGTGTAGTATGCTTGATTGGCTGTAAGTTCTAATTCATTGGTTAAATATTTTAAATATATTTGTCCTTAATTAAAGTACTAAGCATTAATGAGCTTGTAGCTCAATTGGAACTGGCCCCTGTCTTTTAAGATTGGGGTGTGATGATGATGTCTGAGGTTTGATCCTTCACTAGGCCACCTATTTGCTTGTTAACATATAAAAGAATTACTTATTTTGATTACATTGGATAACACTTTCAGTACATAGATGTTTGTACTTTAAATTAACAATATGTGCATAAATATGCAGGCCTGACATGAATCGATGTAGTTTTACTGAGGATGAAACTACTAAAGCTCTTATTGCATTATACCAAGGGCCTCCTCTTGAGGGTCAAAGCAACCTGCAAAATGTCTCTGGAACTGTTATGATGGGAGGAACCAGGGCAGCTTTCCAGCATCCTGACCAACACCAGCTAAATAATGATCCGCATGCAGTGCATAGGGGGAAGAAAAAAGTTGTAAAAGAGGTATCACATTCTACAAATAAAGATGGCTTTTCTCACGTGTCATATGCTATAAAGAAAAACTTGCAGTCATCAGTGAAAAGTAGGAGTTTAAATGATGTGAACAAATCTGTTGTGAGTGAAGCTGATTTTCCAGGGGAGAAACACAAAAATAAGCAGAGGATGCTGGAGCACAACTCTGATAGAGGTAGCTTAAACAACATATTAATTGTGCTTATCAACTCAGTAGTAACTAACAAAGTCCTGTTAAATTTCTACAACATTATCTTAATTACAGAAATTTTTTTGTCAGGTGATGTAAAGAATATGAAAGGGAAAAGCAGGAGGGATCATGATCAAGATTGTTCTAGACCATCCAAGAAAGGTAAGACTGACAAGTTTAATTCTGTTGACGAACAGTGGACTCCAGAACAGGGTGGGACCACTAGGAAGGTGGGTCATAGCTCAAACAGCACTTTTTCATCAGTTTCCAAAGATCGAACTAGACCGAAAGATCACTCCACTTCAACGGACTCCAAATCGGGAAAAGTCAGGCTGCCAGTTTCTGCTGAAAACACAAAAGATAAGGGTCAGGGTTCCTTGGATGAGGGATCCCTGGATTTGGGGAATTATGATTCAATTGGTAGTGTGAAAAAGCGGAAATTGAAGGAGTATCAGGATGCTCAAACTTGCAGCACAGGAAATCCTCAACTACAGGAGAGAAGAATTTCTGAGCAAGAGTTCAGTAATTTCAGGAAGGAAAAGAAGGCAAGAAATTCAAAATCTGAAGGTAGAGAATCAAGTGCCAGTAAAGGAAGTGGTAGGACAGACAAAAAAGCTAATACAAAGAACAAGAAATTCAGGCAAAATCCCGAGAGCACTCTGTCACATCGAAGCTTGGATGGTATGGACTGTTCAAAAAGGGACTTGGGGTCTGTACAGGCTTCTGTTGCTGCCACTTCAAGCTCTTCTAAGGTTTCTGGCTCGCATAAAACCAAAGCCAACTTCCAGGAAGTGAAAGGCTCACCAGTGGAATCAGTTTCTTCGTCGCCTATGAGAAATTTAATTACAGATAAGTTTACAAGCAGGGAAATTATGGGCAAAGATGACTCTCATGACATTGCTGCTGTGGATAGTCCAAGAAGATGCTCGGATGGTGAAGATGATAGTAGGAGTGATCGATCTGGAACAGCTAGGAAGGACAAATCTTTCACCATCGCCCACAGATCTGATTTTCAGAACAAGGGTGTTAATCATATGTCTGATACTAAACCTAAAGCTCAAACAACCAGCCATTGTACCAATGGTGGTTTGGACACCGTAGCCCAAGGTGGGACATATCCAGTTACAGAGCTGATCAAGCATCAAGGTGAAGACAGGACTGATGTTTATTGTGCTAATGTGTCTCATACAAGGAAGAATGGCAATGAATCAGGTTTGGAGGAAAACAATGAGGGCTGTAAGTCAGAGTCACATGCAGAAGAAGAGAAGAATGCAAGTTCTCCTATTCAACTTCGAGATCTGTCTCCTCTACATGAGGCAAAGCATAGGGATGGCAAAGTTAAGTTGCAGGAGAAGTTTGGGTTCAAGCCTGACCAAAGTGAGAATGCACATGCTGTCAAGAAAGATTATACAGGAAAAAATGAGAGTAGGAAAAAAGAGAAACACTCAAATAGAGGGCATGATATTCAAGAAGTTAGTATAGATGCCATATGCAAACAGGAGGTATTACATCCTTCCAGTCAGAATCAGTTGCCAGATTGTGATACTGAAAGATCTTCAAAGAGGTCTCTTTCGGAAAGAATTGATCAAGAAGTACTTGGAAAAGGGAAGTTTTTGTCATCATTGCCCTCTGGAGGATCTAACGTTGAGACATTGGTTCGTTGCCCACGACCAGTTGTTGGTTTCCATAAAGGAAATGGAGATATGGAAGTTGATCCTTCCAAAGTTGATGATGTGTCAAAGCTGCAAAAAAAGCAATTGAAAAAGGCTGATCATCAAAATGGAACCCAACAAATTGGTTCAAGAAATCCTACACTTAATGGACACCTGTCAAAGGAGCCCGATGCCCGTAGTCCGGTTAGAAGGGATTCTTACAGCCATGCTGCTAACAATGCTGTGAAAGAAGCTAAAGATCTCAAGCATCTAGCTGATCGTCTCAAGGTTTTTACTCGGTCACTTTTAGATTTTTGTGTTTTTAACTCTTCTTGAATCTTATTTTACAAATTTTAAGTTTATCATACAGAATTCCGGATCTACTATTGAGAGCACTAGCCTTTACTTCCAAGCAGCCCTAAAGTTTCTTCATGGAGCCTCTCTGTTAGAATCTGGCAACAATGATAATGCTAAGCACAGCGATATGATTCAATCAAAGAAAATATATAGTAGCACAGCAAAATTGTGCGAGTAAGACAACAGTTTTTCTTCGTCATTGTGGTTTTACTTGTTTTAAAGATCATATTATCTTCCCTTCTTTCAAATACTGATATAAGCATTCTTTCCTTTATTTATGGTTATATTATGTTGCAAGTATGCCTTCAAACCTCATTACTGTACTTTGCATAAGATTTTTATGTTGTTTATATTAGCCTTTATGATTTGATTTATTTTTTATTTTTTTGGTAGCATCATCTTGATATTTTCCATTTGATAGGTTTTGTGCCCGTGAGTATGAGAAAGCAAAAGACATGGCTTCAGCTGCTCTGGCCTACAAATGCATGGAGGTTGCATATATGAGGGTAATATATTCTTCACATGCTAGTGCAAGCAGAGATCGGCATGAGTTGCAGACAGCCCTGCAAATGACTCCTCTTGGTAACGATTTTTTATACTCAATTTCCACTGTGTATGCATGATGCAATAATTCTTTCTTAAGTCCTCACCTTCCATTTGAATTTGTCTTTGATGTCCTATCAATTCCATCTCCATCTGATAAATAAACATATAAACCTAGCTTCAACAAATAAGTGTAAAATATTCTGGTCCTTTTATAGAAAAATTATCATGTCGGATGCATTATAATAGATTATCTGAACATTGCCTATCTGGCAAAAATTCTATATGGCAGAATGATGGATATATATCTCTTTCGTTGTTGTTTGAGATTTGATGTATGAATAATAAAAAGGGAAAGAGAAGAAGAATAAGAACAGGAAGAAGAAAAGTTAGATATGTCTAATTTGTTTGATGCTAATAAGTCTAAAAATGTTTTTCCTTTCATCATGTGAATGGACCACTGTTTCTCTTTCTCAGTAGTGCCATTGACCATGAGATTATGTTGATGAAATGGGAGTATATCAAGCTCTGATCTTTCCTTTTTGTTTTGGACCTTGTTTCATTTGTCAGGTGAGTCTCCTTCATCGTCTGCCTCTGATGTTGACAATGTTAATAACCCTACAGCAGCTGACAAGGTTGCCTTATCCAAGAATGTCAATTCGCCCCAAGTTGCTGGAAACCATGTTATTGCTGCACGAAATCGTCCCAATTTTGTGCGGTTGCTCAATTTTGTAAGTATATAGTTTTTTTTCACAGAAGAATGATCTTAACAAAAGCCACCCTCCTTCCTGTCGTGGCGGAGGAGAACAGCTTTAGAAACTTGATAGAAATCATAGTGAAATTGGGTTCCTAATTAGGATTTGAGGGAATTTACAGTAAATTGAGGAGAACAGCTTTACATTAAATCTGCGGTTGCTCAATTTTGATAATGTACTGATTGTCATTTTAGGCAATGCTTTCACTCATTGACAATCAATGTTGTGAAATTGGGTTCCTAATTAGGATTTGAGGGAATTTACAGGATTGAATTTATCAGGTCAAGGATGGTAGGATTCTGTAAAAAATATTGAAGTGCTAAAAGTTTAAATAAAATTACAATATTGAAAAATGCAACAAAATAAATTACAGTATGTCATTAGCTTGACACAACATACCTAATAAATCCTTTTTTCAAGCTGTATCAAGGTGACAAATGTAGACATGAACACCAAGGCTAACACAGATAAATTAAATATATACGCACAGTAAAAGTAAATAAATAACTGTAGCTTTACCTATAACTGTAAAGATGGACAAAAGAAATCTACTTATAAGCCAACTGTTTGAATTCAAAGAATCCTAGTGTTTCCCATTAAATCAATTGAAAGAATGAAACTCTCAAAAAAGAAGAAGATCATCAAGGAAAGATGACTGAGATTGTTTTAAGGCTGAATCTTTTCCAGATTTTAGGAACTGCAGACATAGAAATTATAGATTTTATGATCTAACTTTCTGAAATTTCTTTTTGATAGGCTATCTTATTTTGGTGTACTAAAATATTTGTTCAAATTGTCCATGAGTAAAAAATTTCTTCAAATAAAAATCTGGTATGATAGTAGGTACAATCCTTTTGTGATCCCATTTGATTCCAATTCTATTCCTAATTCAGATTGCTAGGGCATGTTAGCTTTGTAAAATCAAAACCATATGGTCTTATGATCTGGATTGCAATTTTAGTAGCCTTGTTGGCAACAATGACTAAGTCCTACCAAAAGGGAAGCCTACATAGTAACAACTGTTACGCTAGCTTACATGCTTTGTTGACGATGTTATTTTGGTTGCATATCAGCATGGAAATGAATGACATGTTGCATCATTTGCAGGCTCAGGATGTAAATTTTGCCATGGAAGCCTCAAAGAGATCACGGAATGCTTTTGCAGCTGCTAATTCAAGCCCAGGTGTGGGCAAGTATGCAGATGGTATCTCCTCTATCAAGAAGGCTCTTGATTTTAGCTTTAACGATGTGGAGGGGTTACTACGTTTGGTACGGCTGGCTGTGGAAGCCATTAATCGTTAAAGTGTCCAATTAATCATGAGATGATTCTAGCCCATTAAGAACATGTGTTACCTGGTCTTGTATAAAACCTTCATCGTGACAAAAAAGCGGTCTGAATTCAATAACAAAGGGCAAGTTTTATTATGTTGGATCTCAAATCAGTCTTCCCAATTGGTGAAGCTAATACTGCCTCTATACATGTTTGCCATACGCATTGAAATGGAAGTTTCAGTTTACAGTCGGAGGAATTTTAGTTGCTTTCTGTTGTGTACAAGAATGAAATCTTTGGCAAACATTGAGATAGTGTGGAGGCATCAGGATTCAGAAGTCGGCTTCTGTAAATTGAAGATATAATAGGTGGATATGGACTTAGAAGTTTGAAATTAATTGTCATCTTTTGTTCTCTTCTCATTCTGGAGGGATTATTATTTTGTCAATCTGTAAATGTGTGAAGTTGTAAATTCTGGGGAGAGGAAGTTGTGATTTTTGCATTAACTGTAATCTTGCTTCTACCAGTGGGAACTGCACTTTCTCCTCCCGTCCAATCTCTCTTTACGGGTAGGAGAATCAAAGAGAGTCGGACTAAAGTGAGCATTTCTTTCTTTTTAATACATGGACATGCATGTTTTCCTTGTAAAGGTAGATGCATGTTCTGTTCCCTGAACTTTTATTTCTCAATGGCCATTCTTTTCTGATTTTAATCTTGACTTATATGCAGGTTATGTACAATTTCGGGATTAGTGGTACAACTATATTTACTCATTTTTCTGTTGATAGAGAACAAGCTGAAAATAGAAAAGGAGGGAGGATGTACAGCAAGAAATTTTATTTTTTACGTGGCAGGCTATTTATTGCCAATGGTTTGTCAACTTAGAGGTATACAATTCCGCCTGGTCTTGTGAAAGTATGTTTCGGTTTTTAGGGAAGTGAATGTCAGAGCATCTCTAATTCTTGATTGCATCTCATCTCTTTTATTTTTTTCCTCTGCAGGAGCACAGTGGACGTGTAAATAAACATTATAGAATCAAGTTATAGACAGCGTAAGTTGGTTGCTGCATTATGCAGAATTTGATATATTGATCACTGCCATTCCATCATGATCACATTACTATTAAACTAGCGCTGTTACTGGTGCAATGCTTGGTAAAATATTAAATAAACATAAAAATGCTATCATTTTCGTATAATTTTAATTACTTTAATATAGAAATTTTAAATGTATACTGTATTGATAATTTAGATTTGAGGATGGTAAGAATATTAAATAATAGAGGTAAAATCTGATTAGAAAACATTAGAGGGGTAAGGACACAAATTCTAACATATATGTTTTTACCACACCCATGTCACGTGCCACAACTGTAGAGGCTGATATTGTAAGTTTGATTTAGTTTCCTGTTCTGAAGTGCCTTAAAAGGGGAAGTTATGTTGTTTCCTACTAGGTTAATGCTTTTGTGTTTGCACTTTGTACAGTAGCATCATATTCTAGTTAGCATTCTGCATAGCGCTTTTGTTGTAGTTTGATTTCAACCGAACAATGTCTGTGATTGCAGGTTGAGCAACCAGAGGCAAATTCCAGATGGAGCTGCAGTTTAGACATTTCGTGGAGTGTTTTTTTTTTTTTCCTTAGTCAAAACAGTATTATTACACGGATTTTTATAAAGTATCAGTTGCTAGTTGTGGGCATTTAACTTTAAATTTTGACTCTACCAGGCTTACGTGATCTTATTTTCAATGTACAGAGCTAGCTATATTAAATTTACCTTGTATGCTTTACTGGACTGAGAAGCACCTTTTGTCCTTTGGGTTTGATAGCTAATGGCGGTTGGTGTATCTTGTGAAGGCAAATAAGATAAGAATTAAAGATGGGTGAGTGTAAGTTATGCTATCCACCTTAAATTTGTACCTAAAAAAAAGTTTATCCACAAAAGGTTGGTTTTAGTAGTGAGTCGTACTCTTAGAAAAATAATCAAATTTTAAACTATAAAAATTGTGATAATGTTTAATGAGTTAGTCTTGCAGGAACAATGTACCTGGGAACATCCTGATTAAAGATTAAAAACTATTCCAACTTTTGTTTTTATTGTATAATGCACCGCAGTAGATTGAACAGGATAATATTATGATTATTTAGAGAGGGGGTGGTAAGAGTCAGAGAGATTAAATTTAAGAGACTCTTAATAAATTATTTTTAAGAGAAATATCTATTCTTGTTTAGTTTTTAAATTATATGGAAGCTACATTGAGGCTCTTCAAGAATTTTTTGCGTCATTTGTTTCAAGTTATTTTTTTAATGATATTATACTGACCATTAACTAAGAATCAACAACGCATTTATTTCAAATCAGTCAAATCAGTTGGGGTTGCGGTCAATGAATCCAAAAAAAATTTGAGAAAAAAATGAAATAAAATAATACAAATGAAAAATGAGAAAAAAAATAAACAAGAGGAAAAATAATTAAATTAGAAAGATAAATAAATATAGGGAACAACAACTTGAAAGGGTCATCTCCAACATATGAAAAAAGGGTTTCCCATCCATACATAACAATTTTTTTGTACTCTGTTCCAAGACACACCACCCTTTAATTTAGTTCTCACTTCATTAAGTTTTGTTTTACTATTTTTTTTAAGTAAATTTCGATCGATCTCTTTTCTATTTGTGTCTTGCTTTTTGTAACAAATTTTGTTTTTACAAGGGCATTTAGGATTTTTTGAATAATGTATCAAAATCATCTCAATTTATATTCTCTCATCTTTTCAACCACTCGTACAACACCATTTTTCATCGAATATCTTCATTTACTATCTTATTTATTCTTGTATGATCATACATCCTCATTTCTATTACTCTCATTTTATGCTCATATTGCCTATGTATTGACAACATTCAGCTTTTTGTAATATTGCAGGTCTTATTGTTGTTCTATAAAAATTTTCTTTTAGCCTCGAAGGGATTTTATGATCACATAAAAATCATGATGTCCTATGTCATTTCAGACAACCTACTCATATTATGTTGTTCACATCCTCATCAATATCTCCCCCTCATTGTAATATTGATCCTAAGTATCTAAAAGCATTTTTCTCGGGTATCTTTTGTCGTAGTAAACTCACTTCATATACTCATTCTTTAGACTCCATTATGCTTCTCCACAATTCTAATTTTTTGTTAACACCGGCCTTATTTTCATCAATAAGCACAAAATCATCAGCCAATAAAATACACTATGGCACCTTGTCTTGGGTATCTTTTGTTAATTCATCCATAATTAGGGCAAAAAGATAAGAACTCAATGCTAAATCTAGGTGTAAACCGATTGCGATAGGAAAATAGCTTGAATTTTCATTACAAGTCTTCACATATGTAGTAACATCATTATACATATCCTTGACTGCCTCCACATATTTTGATGAAATCTTTTTCTTCACAAGAACCCACCATAGAACTTAGAACATTTATCGTATGCCTTCTCAAGATCAACAAACACCATATATAAGTCTTTCATTTTTTCTTGATATCTTTCCATCAACAGTCGTATCAAGAAAATATCCTCCATTGTAGATCTTTCTAGCATTAATCAAAATTGATTTACAAATACCTTAGTCTTTATTCTCTAGTGATGCTTAATAACCCTCTCTCACAACTTCATAGTATGGCTCATAAGCTTAATTCTTTTATAGTTAAAACAATTGTGAATCTCTTTTGTTTTGGTAAGAAGATTTAGATTGATAAAGCTTTGGAACCCGATGAAGCCCCTATTGAAGCGTGAAGATGTCTAGGGGATGTGACAATAAGTTCGTTGACAAATATTTTTATTGAGATTCTCAAAATAATAAGATGTCTAATGAATGGTGGAAGATTATGCTATTTGTTAACTTTATGCACTCAAATTCTATGCACAAACCTTTTATTCAAATAATCAAAAGCATCCTCCAAATCTACATTACTTTTGTCATTATTCCCATTAAAAAACTTGTTAAAATAGTTCATCCATCTTTCTTTAACTTCTACATCTCTTGGTAAAAGTTTTTTATTTTCATCTTCGATGCATATAACCTAAGTCAAGTCTTTAGTTTTTTTGTCCCTTATATTTGGACATCTTTAGATACGTTTTTTGCCTTCTTTGCTCCCAAATTTTTTTTGTTCAAATATGATAATACCTTACCTTTGGTCTCTCGCAATATTTTCTTAGCATTCTTTCTAGTCACTCTAAACTTTTGCAAGTTCTCCTCACTAGGGCATTTATGCAAACATTGGAAGCACTCCATCTTCTGTTTGATTGCCTCTTGTACATCTTCATTTTTCCACCCAATTTCCTTTGTTCCCTTTACTTTTTCCTAACACCCCTCTTGTCACATTTTGAATACAAATAGACATTTTGTTTCATATTTCATTTGCTTCTCCATCTAATTTTGATGGTCCTTCTTGAAGCATTGTTTTCTGGAAATCTGTTCCCCCCCCCCCCCCTAACTTCCATTATCTTACTTTTGAGTTCTAGGCACTTTGTATATTTTTGGTATTTTGTTTAACCAAACCTCTAAAACCACCAACTTATGTGGCATAACTACATATTCTCCAAGGTAGACTTTACAATCTACACACCAAGGATCTATCCTCTTCTAACAAGAAAGAGATCAATTTAGCTATGATTTTAACCACTACAGTAAGAGAAATGTGACTATCTTTTCTGAAGACGGTGTTTGTCAAGTAGGTTTGGCAAAAACGAGTCAACCCGTCGAGTTGGCTCGTAACCCGCCAAAAATGAGCCGGGTTGGGTTGGCAAAAATGAGCTGCTAACCCGACTCGTTCCAACTCGGGGAAAAACGAGCCAACCCGCGGGTCAAACGAGCCAGCTTGAGGGTTGAGTTTTTTTTTTATATAAAAAAATACAAAATATAATATCCAAAAATGGACAAACCCACACATGTTGTCATCATTTTTCTTCCTTCTCTAAACCTAAGTCCCTAATCTTCTCACATCTCTGCCATTTTTATATTGTTAGCCTGTGCTGGCTCTGTTTGGTTCAAATATCTTACCCACTTGGTAGCAAGTGGTTCTGATTGTTTCTGGATGTTAATGCAAATTTGTTGTGAAGAAAATTCGAAACTAAAATATTTTGTTTTTATTTCTCATTTTGTAACCCTTTGTTTAAGCTAATGGAAGCCACATAGTTGGTGTATTAATACTACAAGGTCATTTAAATAGGCTGAAAACAAGTCAACCCGTGAGTAATTTTCGAGCCAACCCGCGAGCCAATTTTCGAGCCAACTCGCGAGCTATTTTTTCAAGCCAACCCACGAGCCATATTTTTTAGCCAACCCGCGAGCCAACTCTAACCTGACTCGGGTCGGGTTGGATTGGATTTTCTGGCTCATTTTTTTTTTGAGCCAACCCTGACCCGGCTCTTTTTTCCGGGTTGACTGCGGTTGGATCGAGTCGGATCGGGCCGAGTTGACCCGTTTTACCAACCCTATCATCAGGATCAAATATGAAGTTAGTGCAACATTCAAAATATCTTCATTTTAAAGTCTTACGAAAATCTTATGAAAATCTTATGAAAATAACTTCCATTATTTTGACCAACATGTCCATTTAAATATCTTATGAAAATCTTCTTCTCATATGGTATTCCACTTAAAACCTCCTAGAGATCTTTCACAGACTTGGTTCTTATTAGATACTTGGGGGCAAACATACAACGGAAATTTCAAATTAAATCATGCACGGCAAGTTTAACCAAAATAATCATGCCCTTTTTCTTACTATCCTTGTAAAAAAAAACGAACTTTTTATTATCCAGTTTACAATTTTCTTATGAGAGCAACATTTGGTTTATTAAAAGAAAAATAAACACAAATATTAAAAAAGTTAACACTCAAGAAGTAAAATGTTATCAAATCAGCGTGTTTCTTTTTCCTTTTTCTTTTTTAAAAAAGGTTATGATATTAAAATTACTTGTAATTTAACGTAAGAATCAAAATATTTAAAACAATACAAAACAAACCGAAAGAACAAAAATAATAAAATTCACAATGTTTGTGAAGGGTCGCTTTTTATATTTAACTAATTTATATTATATAGCATTTTTTTTAAGAAATACTGTACCAAGTGAAATGTTATTAATTACAAAACAATGATTAAAATATAGAAATTAATGTTTCTTAAGAGATAATTTTATCTCCTACACACAAAAATATATGGAACCCACATGTGAAGAGAAAATAAAAGATAAAGAAAAAAAACATGAAACCCATATATTTATATATGTGTAAAAAATAAAATTATTTCTTACCATATAAAAAAACACTAATCCCTAAAATATGTTGCCAATGAATTCTAAAACGACAGAAAAATTGCATTCCTTGTCAATTACAATCTCAACAATTATCAGCCAATTTCGTTTTAGATTTATCTTTATACAAATATTGCAACTAAGTGGTATCAAATATTTAAAATGTTATTCGTAACAAAGAATATCAAACGGGGGCCGACGAACCCCTAGCTCGTGGGCTCAACAAACAATTACCCAACTAATACTTAGGTATAAATTATAATGATGTTAATTCAATCTATTCCATTATGTTACCTATCTATCTCCCTCCAAATAACTCAAAATATATAAACCATAGCGAATTCAGTACGATATCTTGCTTCGCTCCTGTATGTATATATATATATATTAACAAAATCAAATTATAACTAAAACTAGCTCTTATAAGGTCAACTATGCAAAAATTCTCGCCCCCAGTAATAAGTTTCTCCGATCACTGAATTAACATACTACAAACATTTACAGCATTTTGTAAACCTTGAGAATTCTCAACTGTACTTTCCTAAGAATCTAATTCAGACAATCCCAGTAGCCTCCATTAAGCCAGATACCTGAAGGTGTTTTGGTTGTCTTTGTCCCTTTCCATGTAGTCCCGACTGATCAGATCTTCAATGCGCTTCTTGATTGCTTTGATATCAGGCTACAAATCCAATTGCAAAAATTGCAAATTGAGAAAGTACAGAAAATCATTCAGCTAACCAAAATCTATACAGATATTATAATACTTTCGGGCTTCAGAATCAAAACCTCATTCACATTGACAATAATAAACGAAATTCAAGCAATTTTATACCTTGAACATGCGGCCCAACAGCTCAACACACTCCAAAACTAATTGTTGGTGGACCAAAACTTTCCGACTCTTCATAATGCGCACAATTGCTGCATCAATAGCATATCGCCTATCCTTGTCGACATCTTCAATTATCTTCTTCCTTTCATCAACTGGTGGTAGAGGGATCTGTGATCAAAAAGTGCCAGATTTATCATCTTCAAGGGGGAGAAAATGTTGGCTTACAAAGCTTCCAAGTCTAACAGGTATAAATCAAAAGATGAAAATTATGGTTAAAAGCAATCACAGACCTTGATCCTTCTCATTTTGTCAGTAAATTTGGAGTTGAACTCAAAGCTGTCATTTGGAGATACAACTTTTGTGTTCGGCTCCTTAGTGAGAATCTTATATTTTGCACATGACAGGGAATGGAGTAATCGAACAAGGTCTTCGTGGGTCAAGTTCAGCTGAGTCATAAGCTCTGAATAGCTCAACCTATCAGCGGTGTTGAATAGCAGCAAGGCAGCAGCCTGTCAAAAGACAAATTTCAAACCAGAAGCATGAGTTCATAAATCTTAAATCCCATAATGTCATAATTTTCAACATAATAAAAGAGGAAGGGACATGAGAAAAGGGAGTTACCTGATAGGTTGACACAACTAGTTCAATGGTTTTTGATTCAAACTTGCCACTCATGTTGCAAGTTCCCAATGAGTAAATCCATGTAAGTTTTCTGTGTTTTGTCTTTGTTTCATAAAAGTCCTTAAAAACTTGTACGCACTTGACCTAAAACAAAAAAAATTACCGTAGAGTATTAATTAAAACTCGTCTTCTTCACCACAAAAAACACAATAATGAAAACCTGAATAACTACCATCAGCAATAGGATCTTACCATCTCTGAAGGGAGATTGAGATCAAAGGACTTGTAACTTGGCCAAAATCCTGTGGTAAGAACAGTAACTGTCAGGTCAATTCCGGGATTTATTTGTGAGTTGTCACGAAGATATTCCTCAAATTTCATCTGATTATCTCGAGCTAATGTCAAGTCGGTGACCTGCAATTTATACATATCAAGTAAATCCTCAAATTATCAGATTAAAAAAAAAAAAAAAAAAAAACTAATAGTTAGCCTCGCAACAAAGACAACTGACCATCCCCTCCATCTTTGATGTGAACTGACCACCACATTGCTGCTTTAACTTTGTCAAAATGCACTTTTCATGGTCGTCGTTGGCACTCCTATCAAAAAGTAACCTGCGGGCAAGCTTCTTCCTGCATATATGAAATGTGTTAAGAAGGACTTCACACAATAATTTGGAGCCTAAAACATAAGAACAATATATAACAAATAAATAAATAAATAAATAACTCTGACCTGTAAAATTCTGCAAAGAGATCCTTATCACTGATATATGCAAGCAGCTTGACTACCTGCAGAAATTACACAACTTTGGTAACAGAAGTCATAGTGATGCAAAATCTGATGGAGAAAACCTAAAAACTACCTTCTCAAGGGTTTCTTCAATCGCTTCATCACTCAGCTTCTCACTTCCACCCTTTTTAAGGACATTGTCACAGAATGTAGCTAACAGTTCTGCACTGGAACCACCAGCAATAGTTTTATTGCAAAATACCTCATATGCTTCCTTTAATGCCTGCAAAATGAAATAATATTTAATTACTATAAATCATTCTATTATGTAGTAAGTTATTTGAAGGAAATAATAACTAACAATTGCCTCAACAAACCTTGTGGAACAGTGTGTGATTCATAAAGCAATCATTAACATATGTCATATACTTGTCATGGAGCTCTATGAATTTTCTGACAAGGACCTGCAATGTGACATGACTAACCTTCAGACCTTTCAAGCTATAGTACAATTAAAAATTAGAAGAAAAAAGAAAGAAAGAAAGAAAGAAAAGTTGTTGGGAATTGGGACTTACTTGTTCCTGAAAGCCAGAACCATTTGTCATCTGGAGAAAATGAAAATGAAAAATTGTCACCAATTAGCAACAATCAACTACTTAAGACAGATTGAGAGGCAGTAATGTGTGTACAAAATAAATGATACAGCCTAGAAAATTACATGAGAAATATAATCTCACTGACATCAGTTCAGCATGCTTACATCAAACAGAAGAATTGAAAAACATGACAAAATATCCCTAAAAGCATCAAGTGGTAACAACTAAAAAGTTTAAAGGCTCATCAAAGGTTTGAAATTTGAATAAAAATTGCACCTTAACGCATTCTGTAGATGAAATAGACTAAAAGCCAATGAAAGATATACTTGTATGATTAAATTAATATGAAAACACACTTCCTCTCACTGATACATCTTTTCATTTGATGATAACCACTTAGTAAACTAATCTAAAATGCTTATCCAATATTATCTTCTTTTAAAAAAAAATATTAAGTAAATACAAAAAAATAAAAAATGATTAAGTATAATCATTAAATTTTTAAATAACAAAACAAGAATGGCCAGATAACTGAAAAGATATTCAAATTCAAATTCAAATCTGTAGATTGAAGAGTCTACCACCTTATGCTCTCACACACAGTATCCATATTACTCAGTCTAAAAACCTCAATGAAACCATTTAGACAACCAAATTCATCATCCATAATTTGGGAAGCCTCATTAGCTAAAACACTACATGGAGCAGCTGAGTCATCACATTGATTGTCTTCTAAAATAACATAAGACAAAATAACTAAATTGAAGCACATATGAATAACAACAGCACAAATACACAGTCCAGATTATAATGAGAAACATAATTCCAGACATCATCCACATTTGATCACAAACACAACTAACCAATATAGCAAGCTTGTGGCATGCATATTGAACTTAACACATAACTTCTTGTCCAGTAAACTTCAACACATTTGCAAAGATTCTATCCTGGAATAATGTACCCTTCAATTACTAAAGCTAACACTGCCCGAGACTAGATGCAAAAACAATCTATCAGATAATATAATAGCAATCCATCCACTAAAGACTGACTTGAAGGTAGCAAGAAGCAGAAGGTAAAATATCAATGCAATCAAATTGTTCAAGCATGTATTAAACCTGATTGCTAGCAGCTTCTTCGGCCTGTTGCACCAATGCAGTACCCTCAGCTGTAATATGCTGCAATCAGACGATCATCACGATAGAGTATTGCAAAAAGACTAAAAACAAATAGGCTCAAATCAACGATAAAGCAACATGCAAAAACTAAAGAAACCAACCTGCTTGAATACATTGGCGACAGGATCCAAGCCTTTAGGTATTCTATGGTAAAGTCTATACATCCTAGTTAGATCTTCCACCTAGGCAAAAAACAAATCAAGAAGATAGTTGGCCAAAATATGCATAGGTAAAATGATCAAGTGCAGTTTGTGTAAGATTATCAAATAATTGAATTTATATTTTTGAGTTTCTCTGGGTAGTTAAAGTAGTAGAAATACAATTCAATTGAAGGGATATTTTTTTAATTTTACAAGGTTTCACTTGTTAAATCAATTTTTGGTAGGGTTCATTGCCGAAATACGGTTAAAAAACCTATCAAGGCCTACCATCCAGAATTAAAGTGAACCAATGTCGCTTTGCAATCCAAACATAATGACATAGTATTTAATGCAAGGTTATGGGAACAAATAGGTTTTGAGCCGTGGAAAATCTAAACCAGGCATAAATTGAGTAAAGATCATCACACAGAAAATAAGAAAAGTACTGCAAAGCAGTCAAGTACCTTATCATCTATAAGCAAGGCACGGCAACCAGAGTGCTCCTTCTCAAGTAATTGATTTGCATGGGTCACCAGTAACTCATGTTGCACTTTCTATTAAAATGAAAAAATTATAAGAAATAATAAATGCATTAAATTGGATCTTAATAAGGGGGGAAATAATTTTAACAGAAAACAAGGAGCATAGGGTTTAGGGGGGAAATATATATCGTTCGATATGATACGGTACAAAAGCTGAGCGATACAAATTGGTTGCATGTATCGGAATTGGTCTTGTATCGAATCTTGAATCACTGTATCGTATGATTCAACATCAAATTGTGTATCGTATCACAATTTATGATTCGAAAATCAAACCAAGATTTGTGATTTTCAATTCAAAAAAAATCTGAAAAGTCAATAGTAATTAGGAAAAGAAAAAAGAGATATGATTTGTGATTCAAATTCAAAAAAGAATCTGAAAAGTCACTATTAATTAGGGAAAGGATCTAGAAATATGATTTGTGATCCAAATCAAAAATGAATATGGAAAATCACTACAAATTAGGGAAACAATCAAACAAATATTCAAATTTGTAAATTATTTTTTATTATGTTTTTGAATCTTACAATACGATACATGATACAAGATACAAAAAAGCAGCCAAACAATACACAATTGTATTGCAATTCAACAACCTTGGCTAGGAATAAAAGGGAATAACTTTCAATATAGAATACATTTGCCTTTGAATAAATTCAATCACTATTTTTCAATTACAATGTTGTAATTTAAGCTTCTTCCCCCAAACTTAGTTGAGCATATATAATAGTAACATATGCTTTGCGTACTTCATAATCTTTGTAAAAAATCATGTACATGGTCCATTTATCAATGTAAAGAGGTGTAACTGTGTAAGTTTGCCACAAAAAGCATCCTTTCGCACAAGTCAATGTGTATAACACGGGGGGGATTTAAAAAGTCAAAGATTTATACTGACCTCTACCAATTTCTGCTCAGTGCTAGAATGCAAGTAGTGAGACACTCTCTCTCTCTCCCTTCTCAAGCAATCCTCAGCCTGTGCAATTACAGGGGGGGAAAGTTATTACAGGATATCAACTAACAGTAACACAATACAGCAGTCTTGCAGTATCTTTACTCCCAAGGCACAACATGGACAGACTTGCCTTTAGCATATAGTCTGGACAGGAGTCAACCTCAATCCAGTTTATAGCCTTACTTTTGTAGTAATTGGCAGTATCTTCAAGCATCTGTAACTCAAAATCCTTTTCGTATAATTCCATTTCACCCATACCAATCTCAACAAATATATCAAGAATGTTTTTCAACAACGATTTATCAATCTGTTCACCCTCACGTTCTTTGTCAATCTATAACATGAGCCATGGTTATTCCAAAGGTCATCATCAGCGAAAATTAATTCACCACATAGTGAAGTAATGCACTTACAAGAGTAATCACAGCTTCCCTAGCATTAGCTCGTACCTCCATGTAAACCTGTAATTAAAAAAAAAAAAAATGAGTGCATCTAGAATAAATGATTGGATTTAGTATAGCCCTTCAGTTCATGGTCGCAGATAAGATAGTAAGAAAGCTAAAAGAGATTGATAACTGACCAAATCACGGAAGCAAGTAAGCCCAACTGCTTTGAGACAAGGCAGGGAGCGTCGAGCAACGAAGTAGCGATCAAGATAATGGAAGAAGCGAGAAAGCCACCTGACCATGACATTATGGTTTAACCATCTTTGCACAAGCTCCCTCAGCATGAATTCATCGTGCTTCTCTATTAGAGATGGCAAAATCTAAAAGGGAAAGAAGTTGAAAAAGAAACAAAAGTATCAGATCAATAAGTTATATATGACAAAAGCAGTTCAAACAAAAGTTGCAGAAGTAAGGTGAAAAAAAACACAAACTGGATATGATTCCCTACCGTAGATTTAATGTATTCATCAAAAGCCTCCTTGTATTTGTCATAAAGCTGTTGTGAAAAGTCATTTGGTGGCTTCTGCGTACACATATCATAAATGGTTCTATGATGGTTGAATCAAGGAAAAACAGTCAGCAATATCCAAAACTAAGCATTAAGAGAGGATACAACAGAACACAAAAACAGTTTCGGCAACAATAACTGAATCCAAGAAAAAGGATACGTGTATAGCATCATGTATTCCTCTGAACTGAAAGGAGATTCTGGTAATCCTTCAAGAATTCTCTTCAGCTTCCTAATCCCATTCTGCATATAGTCCCAACCTTGCTCCAATTCAATGGTCCTCCTCTCCATTGTAGCTGCAAAAAATGTCAACAACATTCAGACTACACAATGGTCCACGAACTGAAACAATCAAAATCAATCATATAGCACGTACAAAGGCATAAACACATCCATGTCATTCAAGATTTTAAGTATAGCCCTAAACGCATCACGGCTACGTGGATTTCATGAACTAGTGCGTGAACCATTACTAAACCCTAGCCGCAGAAAATAATCAATAGGATTTCGGACAATGCTCAACACATTGCACGAGTTTCAAATAATAATATGCAGATAGCAAAGAAAAAACCCTAAAGTCCCAAAACATGGCGCTGATTGAGTCAGGAACAAGAAAAAGAAAATCACAACGATCAAGTTTTCGGGGGGAAATAGCCATACAAACCCTAACTGTTACGTTGAAGCGACACGATCTGGTTGCTGACCTCTTTGGCTTCGAAAGCAAAAGAGTTCAAGAATGGCAGAGAAAGAATGTCTTGAATTTTATTTTATTTTTTGCTTGGTCTATTGTTATATATATTATTACTGTAACGAAAAAAACGAAGGTTTAACGAGGGTAGAGTTACTCACGATCACAGTGCTGTTGATTCTATAAACTATGGAGCAGAAGGAAATTGTATCGCTGGCAAACCAGAGAAAGAAAAGGAGAAGACTAATGCAGCGGGACAATCTTTCTTCACCTTTTGTACGTATGCTGTAAATAGGAATCCCCCTATTGGTTTAAATAGACGTATAACTATCATTTTAGAGGATATAACCTCATATTATTTTACATCTTAATAGTTGATTTTTGTCCATTAACAATTATAATTAATTGAATCAAAATTATTAATTAATTAATAATAAATTTGACCCATTAAGTTTGACCCAATAGATTATAATCGTTGATGGGGGGAAATCAACGGTTATGATCTAAAATAATATAAGATTGAGTAAATACCTTTTTAGGTCACTAACAAAAAAACACGGTCCCTACTTTAGTCCCTTACAAAAATAAATTAGTCAGTTAGTCCCTAACAAATTCAAAGTGGACCCATCTTAGTCTTTTTAAAGGGACTAATATGGATCTTTTTTGAATTTGTGAGGGACCACGATTTCAACTAAATGGGTCCACTTTGAATTTGTTAGGGACTAACTCACTAATTTATTTTTGTAAGGGACTAAAATGGAGACCGAGTTTTTTGTTAGGGACCAAAAAGAGTATTTACTCTATAAGATTATATCATTTAAAAGGATAGATATTTAAACAGAAGTGTTAAATATTTTAGTTGTAACCAGATCTGATTTTTTATTTTTTAGGTCATATTGGATTGAGATTTCAAATGATTTTAATGTATTATTTTTAGAGAAAAAAATTCATTGGTATTCAATAAAATTTTAAAGAATTAAAAAAAAAGTCACGTGATATTCGATTAAGATTTTAAAAGATTATTTTAGAGTTCGTTCAAATCCATTTAATGGATTGTTTTTGAAAAAATTATTTATTAGTATTCAATTAGGATTTTAAAGGATTGAAAAAAAGTAACATGATATTTTATTAGGATTTTAAAAGATTACTTTAAAGTCCGTCCATATTCGTTGGTATTCAATAATGATTTTAAATAAAGAAAAAACAATCTTATGGTATTAATCTTGTGTTATTAAAAAATATGACGATTTTAATAGATTTTTTATTGGTGTGGATTTCGTGGTACTTTTTAGTGAAAAATATATATAGCAATATTATTAAACTTGACCCGGGCATCGACCCAGCCGGGGTACTGGGTTACTGGGTCATTGGTCGGACCGATGGGTTACTGGTCGGACCGATTGACCCAGATATATATAGACATATAAAAAGGCAAAAAAAATTATTTATTGCATTTTAATTAAATAATTACGTATTTATGACAGTTTGAGAAATAAATACAAATGTACTGCACAATGTGACGCCACTTTTGGGCGTCACATTGTACACCCTATATAATCCATCACCCCTCTATTCACTCTTCACACCTCTTCTCTCACTCTTCATATCTCTTCTCTTCAATTTAGTATTTGAATTTTATTTCTTATTCTATTTTAGAATGAGTTTCCGTCCTGATTATGTTCGTGTTGTGTTATATTACAATGGTAGGAAGGTAGAAGGTCGACGAGGTGTCATGTTTGAAGGTGAAAAAAGGCCGACATGTATCCAACACAACGCAACCATTGGCGAATTGCATCAGAGAATTCGACAAAAGTTAAGTCTTCAAGGCAACCAATGTATCACTCAGACCACGACAAGGTTATGGCAATGTGATAAATACATTAGTTTGCAAGTGGTTAACGATGAAGACCTGGAGATGACAATGGAAGAATTTTCCCACCAGTCAAGGACAGATTTTCTGGAGTTGTATGTCGACATCGCCGCAATCGAGAATGTTCCGTTACCTGTGAGGTCAGTTGATTTAAATTCTCTCCGTCTTCCATCTTTGTTTGCCGCTCATGCGTCTCCAGCTGGTAACTATTATGAGGGAGATGAAAATGATCCGACTTGGGAAATGAACGACGAAGACGACGGCGATGATGATGAAAATATCGCAATGGAAGAACGTCTTCTTGCGGAGGATGCTAGTGCTTCCGAAGGAGATGAAGCTGCTGAGATGGATGCGTCTCAATTCCCAAATTCCATGAACCAATGGTCGCGCAAATGCCGCAGTTGCACGACGTTGCGTCTGCCCCATTAGGAGGTATTCATCATGAAGGTTATTGAAATAACTTGTATATAGTTGAATTTTGCACCTGATATAATACCTGAATTAGGAAGTTTGTATTAAAAAGTTACAATCTCCAGTTGCAGGTGACGAAGCTGTAATTCTTTTTTGGGAAGGAATTCTGCATTATTCCTACATTGGTTGGAGTTATCGGAGCGGACAAGAATCATGCACTGATGGTACGGTCTCAGGATCGGGTTCAATACAACGTCCGTGGCAACTGGGTGACAAGTTATTTGTCAATCAAGAATTTGCTACAAAAAAAGATGTCCAAATGGCACTTAAGCACCACCTCATCAGGGAGCATCAAGAAGAAATTGTAATTGAGAACACACCTGCAAAGTTATCCATGAAATGTTGTGCGTATGATAAGGGTTGCCCGTGGCGCGTTAGGGCCATGAAACCAGTGTTTAGTGAAAATTGGAAGATTACGAGATGGGGTGGAGATCACAATTGTTTGAATGAGCACATTTCCCAAGGACATAGACAGCTCGATGCGGTTGACATGCCTCTACTATGTGGAAGTAAATAAGGGGACTGACAACAAGCCAAAGGTACTGCTCATGTGCAGTCACGTCCAGCCACTGATAATCGATATATGGTTGCCACACCACCTACACACAAAATGAAATTTGAATATAAGGACTTACAAATTAATATACATGCATGATGAAATAACAATATACTAAGTATGGACCACCTTACCTCATCTCTACAAAGTGTGTCCAAGGTTGCCCGGTAATGAGTGACCTCATGAGGTTTAAACTTTGCTACTGTATTAAACCTGTCATCAGAAACATACATCAGCAATCATAATCAAGAAGTATACAGATAGTATATATGATAAATCATTAGCGAAATTTTATATGCTTAACAAAGCATACCGGCATCCATAATGTGTGCCCGACTCTGGATGAGGAGGAAGCGGCGGAGCAATGGGTGGGAATCGTATCCATGCCCAAATCTGAAGGAGAATATGGCAACCACCCATGTCAGGTCGTCCGGCATCTGTCAATTCACACAAATTCCTGAACAAGTGTGATAGAACCGCAAATCCCTAGCTGAATCGGCCAATGTCATCAAATCCTCCCCCAAGCAACGGGACTAGCTGACAACCGAAATTGCTGCCTCCAAACTTGTCTGCCAACAACCAAGAACCCAGCATCCTGGCAATGTGCGCCTTTGTAAAGTAGATCTCGGCATCATGATCCCCGGCATGATCGGTCCACCGGGTATATAACTGATCTAAGTATGAGATACGCAGGTCGCCTGAATGATGGAACTCATTTGGCTGTGGAACCGCGCCAAATACAGCCACACAAGCAGCGGGCCATTCCTAGAGGTAGAGCCGGTGACGACAGCCCCGTCAGTAGGCAAGCCCAATATGCCTGCGACATCTTGCAAGGTGATAGTCATATCACCTTCGGTCATGTGGAAAGTATGTGTCTCTAGTCTCCACCTCTCGACCAGAGCACTAATTAAAGGGGCATCGATCTGTGATAAATTAATACATTACAGCGTGTTAACGAATGGTATTGAATAATTACATAAATACAAAACAACATAAATTGTATACCTGGATATGTCGCATCCGGGAAACATGTATAAATCCATCATGTGTCAGGTAGTCAGCGATAACCTCTGGGATAGCGCCGGTAGGTGACCCCCCCGTTGGCTTCCCACACCTGGTCTTTATTTTCCTGACATGCTCCGTATTCCACACTCGCTGTGAAATATGAGCACGTTGCGTACTCTTACGAAGGACGTCCCATATGTACGGCTCAGGTATTATGTACATGCTGGGATCGGTAGGCTCTACATCCGATGCAGAACCCGATGAAGATGATGAATCAGCCATTACCCTCAACTATATCATATAAAACAACATTTAAATTAATCACATGTAATGCCTCATTTAATTTACAAATTAATTAAGCAATGCCATAATTTATTATCAAATAATTTAAGCATATGCGTCATTTATTTTACTAGAATCGAAATTAATGAAATAATGTTAATACTATTAACAGTCATTTATTTGTAATTAAATAATAAAAAAACATTGGAAAAAAATAATATAATACTTACAGAATACTTAACCCTAGGTCACTAATAACTTCATAAATATATACTAATAATCACACCTAAATTTGGAAGAGACTTTGGGATGATTTACTTCAGTTATCAGAAGATATCTCGGTTCCTTGGTTAATTGCAGGTGATTTTAATGAAATTGCCTTTCCAAGTGAGAAACGTGGTGGTGCTCCAGTTGATACTAGCAGATGTAATAAATTTGCTTCTCTTCTAACTGATATAAAGATGATTGATCTTGAAGGAATAGGTTCTAAATTTACATGGCGAGGACCAAGATTTCTTCATTTAGATAGAGTCTTTAAACGTTTAGATCGAGCTTGTAGCAATGCTGAATGGAGGTTGATGTTTCATGAAGGCCAGGTTCGAGTGCTTCCTCGTATTAACAGTGACCATAATCTTATCCTTATTACCTTAGAGCCAAGCAAAGTTGATGGGGTGGAACTCCCTTTCCGTTTTCATTCTTTTTGGTTGGATCATCAATTTTTTAACAATTTCATCAAGGAAAACTGGCGTCAGGATCAAAGAACAGTTGATAGTCTTCGTGATTTCACTCCTCTTATTAAGCAGTGGAATAAAGATGTGTTTGGTAATATCCATCATAAGAAGAACAGATTGATTGGTAGGCTTGAAGGTATCCAGAGGGCAATTTCTGAGCAGAATAAAAGCCATTTGGAAAAGATTGAAGGCAAGATAAGGGGTGAACTTGAACAAGTTTTAGAACAGGAGGAACTTTTGTGGTTTGAAAAGTCTCGTGCTACTTGGATAGCTCAAGGAGATAGGAATACAAAGTACTATCATACGAAAACAATTGTTAGACGTAGAAGGAGCAAGATCTTAGAGTTGAAAGATGATGCTGGA